AAAAAAAGAGAGAAAATAGAAGCCCCAATTCTCATGGGTCCTCTCCTCTTTCTCTCAATTCTAACACAAATTTGGTTTCCAAATACCATCATCATCATCATCATCATCTCAATCTCACAAAAAAGAATCCCATCAAACACTCTATCCAGTCCATTCCCCTTCCTGTAATGTTAATACCCTCTGTACACTTTCTTTTATTCCCCATCAATCTCACTAATTCCTCCATTTCCAATCTGGGATGCATTTTCTTCCTCCCTATACCTCTCTACTAATACTACTATCACACAACTCTCTCACACCCAAAACTTTAAAAAACGAAATCTCCTCCACCCTGCAGCAATGCAACAAGCACAATGTACAAATTCCCCGCCCGGCCCCGGCCCCGGCCCCGGCCCCGCCCCTGCCAAATTCAAGATGCAGACATAACGACTAGCACGCACACCGCCGTGCATCTGAATTCTGATATGGAAATAGTTTAGGACCACATCAAAGCATCTGCTCCACCCATCCGTGCAGCTTCCTTCCTAGTATTAACTGAGTTGTTGTTTGCTTTGGAGGGGTCCGAAGTAGCCCATTGTTAATTGACATCTCATTCCGACCGGCCATTAATCTTCATATCCATTGAGCTAACCCCTTTCAATGCCTACCTGTCTTCAATAAATATTCGGCCGATGAAATCTCTGAACCGCTTTGAGTAGAGTTTAGGATCAACAGCTGAGATTGAACTGGGGTCAACTTGCAACGACTTGTATGCGTGCTCCAATTTCTTGCTTATATCGTAATCTTGTAAGATGTCAATTATCCCAAAGTAGAGGACTACTTCATAGATCTCACCGCTGCGTGAAGGGGTTAAATGATTCATTCCTCCTGGGGTGTACTGATCGAAGTCACTCCGCCTAGTTAATCGCTCGGCTCTTGCAGGCATGTTAGCTCCTATTCTGATCAACGACTTCCTGGAAAAAAAAACGAACTCAATCAGGTTATGAATGTGGTTACTAGTTCAGAAGGTAGTTAATAGTGTGCTAAGTTATTAGCAACTGTATCAGCTTCTGTATTTGACCTACAATAGTTTCACCTCAGTTTCCACCAAGTGAAAAGTAAATGGACAATAGGCCATAGATTGGAGAATCATTGAGCAGAAAGTGTCATAATTATTCTCAACTACCGAAAGCCAATTGGATTGAGCAAATAAAACTTTTATAAGAAAAAGACCATATAAATAATTGTTGACTAATTGACAAGAAGAATGCAGAAATAACTCTAATTATGGAAAAAAAAATACCTGGACCATTAACAACTGTTACCTATGAATAGCCCCACAAAACGGTACAACCCAAGCCACTTCTATTTTATTAATGAAACAAAATACAATTAATTGCAGAAATAATTGAGTACCCAATTGTCCCAGATTTATGGCCAACTTTAACCACCACATGCACTTAAATCCCCTAGGCCAAGTTTATCAAAAGTTGATGTAAATTGATTCAACCATTTAAGAAAAGAAACCCATCAGGATTTCCTTGAAGATTTACTCTGACATGAATTCAAATTTGATGGTAGGATCAAAAAATATCAGGAATAGAAAATAAGAATGGTAAACGCACCGCCCAGATAAGACTCGATCCATGTCTTGTAACTCTGCTTCAAGAAAACGACAGCCACGCATAAACTTCTCATTCCGGTAAGAATCTTTATTGCCTGCAAAGATAGAGCACAGGTATTATAAATCAAATGACAATAGAAGGAAGTTGATAAATTAATGAAAGGATGAATCATGATGAAAGGACAAGCATCCCATACCAGTTCGCAATAGAAATGGTGATAAACCCATTTTGTTATATGTGTTGTCATCTCGAAAGTGAAGACCAACCAAAAGACTGTAATCCATGATTCCTTCAGCTTCCAAGAAACTGCAATCTCGATCTATTTGTCTGCGCAACATTTTGATAATATTAACGTTCGAAAAGACCATAGAGGTAAATCAGGGTGAAATTTATTATAACAATCTACAATCTATCTACACCACTTACTTCATAAAGTCAATAAACCAGTTACGCTGAAGGCGAAACACAAAATTGAGATCTAGATCCTTCAAAGTTGTGGTCTCATCAATCTCCCCCTCAGGAGTATCTGTTGTTCGGCCATGGGAGGATCCTTTCAAGTCAAATCGTCTATGGATTCGGTATTCAGAGCAGAATAAGTTGCCCATCACAATGAACCGTGTCTAATTTTCACAATAACAAATTGCTTCTATTAGATACCATTGTAACTTCTTGCAATAATTCAATTGAATAACATTTAAGAAATCTAATTTTCAGTCTCAATGATGTGTACCTTCTGCCCACCAATTGGCTTGACACAATGTACACCAAAAAATTTTGTCACAAGTGAATCTTCATAGCGGGAGACATGCTGATAATAGCTTGAAAGCATCCTGATAAGCACCTGAGAATGCACTAGAAAACTTCAAATCGATTGCCTTTTAATATACTTTTCCCCTACTCATGGAGTAATCTACAACCCAAGTAACTAACAGAAGTTAATAGCATTACGCAAGTGCACTAACATCCTACAACCGTATAAACAATTTAACAACATAATGACTAAAAGGGAAGCAACTAACCTTGACTTCAGATTTCTTCACTGTTTTTATCATGAATCGATCGTCCTGGGTGAGGTAAAAGAAACTTCCACTCTTGCCTGGTGAAGAAAACTCCCTAAGGGCATCATTTCCACAAATTGCTAGCATGTAATCTGCAGGATCAACTTGAAATAGCTCCCGCAAGCATCTGTAAAGATCAATGAGAAATATGGTTACCATCCATGTCAAAGGTAGGCACAATTTCGCCAATGGATCATGATTAGTCGTGCAGAGTATCAGGATTCAAACGCATAAATCTTCCCTAAAATGAGAAAACAAAAATGGTAATAGTTTATATACCTAAACACCACAGGACAATAGTCCTTCCAACGGAATTCGATGGATGGATGGGGCGGCGTGGTCTTCGATCCTTCAGGTGGGAACCTTGTCCAGAATTTCTCCCTTGGATCGAAATCACTGGACTTAAGCTTCCGCAAAACTGAAGAATGCTTTCCAACGGAGTGTCTAAATAACATCGCAACATGGTGAAATCAGAATCAATAGTCAAAAAAAAAAAAAACACACAGAAATGAAAATTGAGGGAAGTTCAGGTAATCAAAATTAGCCGAAACGACCGATTACATAAACTTACCTGATACCCAACTGGAGATTAAGCATCAGTTCATAATTCTTGTGCCCCTTAGATATGGTGTGGCCCGGTTTCTTCGCCTCGCCGGTGAAGCAACAGGGATTCCTCCTAAACTGCTTAAAAAGATCTCGATCTAAACCTAGCCCATCCCTATACAACATCGACGCCTCCACATTATCGAGTATATCACAGGTGATATCTCCAGCTTCACCATCGGATTCCCAAATGCAAATCCTCGGGAAATTCCTCTCTGTCAAGCTTCCTCTCGCGATATCTACCGATGATCTCTTCCGTAATGTGATGGTTAAGTTCTCATTCTCCAGTAGCCCATTACTCTTAAAGCTCTGATTACTTCCGTTTGTGGTGTAGAAAGTTCCGTTGAGATGATGGATTTTCATGTTCTTATTCCAGCTACTGTCGGCACAAGTGAAAGTCCCGTTCCCTTTAGAAACCCCGTTTTCCCATTGCCCATCGTAGCGGTTCCCGTTGGCCCAAATTAAGACGCCCCGGCCTGAAATCACGCCGTTCTTCCACTCGCCGACGTACTCGTTGCCGTTCTTCCAGACGTAGCGGCCGTGCCCGTCCTGAAGGTTCCGTTTCCAAGTCCCTTCGTAGAAATC